GCCGGGCACAGCGGCTCATGCCTGAAATCCCAGCACTTTGGGAGGCCAAGGCAGGTGGATCACCTGAGGTCAGGAGTTTGAGACCAGCCTGACCAACATGGCGAAATCCCGTCTCCACTAAAAATACAAACAATAGTCAGGCGTGGTGGCAGGCGCCTGTAGTCCCAGCTACTTGGGAGGCTGAGGCGGGAGAATCACTTGAGGTTGCAGTGAGCCAAGATCATACCACTGCATTCCAGCCTGGGCAACAGAGTGAGACTCTATCTTAATTTAAAAACAAAATTGTATCCGATGAGCTACATAAAATGTCTCATGATTATTTCGTTCATTTGCTTCCTTTTTTTTTTTTTTTTTTTTTAAAGAGACACAGTTTTTCTCTGTCTCCCAGGCTGGAGTGCAGTAGTCCATTCAGAGTTCACTGCAACCTTTGCTTCCCAGGCTCAAGTGACCCTCTCACCTCAGCCTTCCACGTAGCTGGGACCACAGGTACACGCCACCAAACTCAGAGAATTTTTAAAATATTTTTGTAGAGACAGGCTGGCCAGTTTCTTTTTATTTATTTTGATGTGGCTGACAGAAGACTGAAATTCATATGCATGGCTTCCACTGTATATCTACGGGACTAAAGAACCTGCTGCATTTTCTCAGCTCTCAATCACCCCCTACCACCATCCTTAAAAAAGAAGAAAACAAGGCCGGGCGCGGTGGCTCAAGCCTGTAATCCCAGCACTTTGGGAGGCCGAGGCGGGTGGATCTAAAGGTCAAGAGATCGAGACCATCCTGGTCAAATGGTGAAACCCCGTCTCTACTAAAAATACAAAAAATTAGCTGGGCATGGTGGTGCGTGCCTGTAATCCCAGCTACTCAGGAAGCTGAGGCAGGAGAATTGCCTGAACCCAGGAGGCGGAGGTTGCGGTGAGCCGAGATCGTGCCATTGCACTCCAGCCTGGGTAACAAGAGTGAAACTCCGTCTCAAAAAAAAAATAAATAAATAAAATAAAATAAAATAAAAAAAAGAAGAAAACATGAAGCAGTGGCCGCCTCTTACCCGTGGCAGTAGTGACAGTCTCCTCAGAGCTATTTACTCCATTTTTCTCTACCCACACAGAAAACTTATATAAGGACCCGGGTTCAAGTCCATCCACGGTGACGTTGGTGTCTGTTGTGCTTCGGGTCTCCGTTCTGCCACTGTCTCCGGTGCCCTCAACCCAGTAGGTGGAGTTCTGTGGGTCTGGGCCCTCAGGGGCCTCCCAGCTCAGGGTGATGGAGCTGGTGGTCTGGGCCTCCACGGTCAGGTTTCTCACTGGGTTGGGGGCTGAGAAATTAGGGAGAGAGATCCAATGTGAACAGAGATACAGAAAACAAAGGGGGCAAGCAGTGGGCATCTCTGGCCCTTTATGTTCCCAGTTCTTCCAAACTGCTGGCGCCAGCTAATGCAGGCCGACTGTGATGTGTGCGTATGTCATGAGGGCCCCAAGCAGTGGGCCTGAGACGGAGCTGAGATCCTGCCTTTCCAGTCAGCACTCCGTGATGCTACCTACCCACATAGTTCTGGTCATAGTTTGAGTAGCAAGGATCTGGACCAAAACTTTCCTTTTTTGTTTGTTTGTCTGTTTGAGACGGAGTCTTGCTCTGTTGCCCAGGCTGGAGTCAGCGCTGTGATCTCGGCTC